GCTAGAAGTGCCTTAGAATTTTGATGATCGGTGAGTGAGTCAGTGAGTGACAAAATTAAGTAACTTTGACCCGTTATAATTCTTAAACTACTGGTTCAAATTGAATGAAATTTTAAATATACCGTGTCTTTACAATGCCTGCATAGCTAATGAAAATTCAGCCTTCTAGTTTTATCCACAACGAAGTTACAGGCAGTCGAAAATGGCCTGAATTGCTTCGAGAAAAGGATGGTACGGCCGTGCCGCTTTTTTGCTCGACTTGGTGGGGGCACTGCCGTGCCCCCAGATATTACGAGAAAATGTCACAAATAAAACTCATATACCTAACTCATATGAAGACTTATCGCGACAGTACTTCTATTTTTACATTCGATAGACTTTATTTCGTCAATATTGAATGTCTAGTCAATAGAAATACAGGATAAATGTACTCTTACTACAACAAGAACTCATTTCTATTCAATTTACGATTCCAAAATGAATTTCGGGAGGAAACAAATAAACTGTAAATTGATATGAACGCGTTTATCAATTTCGCCTTTCAAACATTTGAGGAGTGTACTTTGTTACTTTGGGTAATTTATGTAAAATGTTGCCGAAGTTACACCGAGACATAAAGCATCTGGCACACAGCCTGCGTGGTGTGAGCGCGGTGTTACTTTTTCAGAGAGTGATAGACTTATGTCTGTAGATGTCTAGTCCGGTGCGAGCGATGGCTGTCACATTGTACTTATAGAAATAGGGTAAGGTGGTGTAAGAGTGCGCGGGCGATAACAGTGCGCATCGCACGTCACGTCGATCCTGGGAGGGGTATGCGGCTAGCTTTAGTTGTGTTTTGATCTGTTGGTGATAAAGGTTACACTGCCGAAAAAATAACGAAATTGGTTAAAAATTGGAGATACCACGTAAGTCGAAACTTTTTTACTCGTTTTGATCTAATTTTATTGCGTTTGGCAAAGATTTCTGTTCGTAGACTTTCAGTTTAACAAAATTATTCAATTTTTATGCAAATAGCTTACCTACTTAGCTAACCGATTCATTCGAAAAACTTGCCCGAAAACTCAATAGATGGCGGCAGTGGTTCAATTTGTTTGAAAAGGGTCAAACGTATAAGAGTGCGCACGGAGTGTGCGTATAAGATTGCGCGCGCACTCTTATACGACGTTTATTTACCGAAGTGTTGTGGGTAAAATAAAATGGCATTTATTATGCTTATATTTTATTAGGTGTATTTACAGCATGTCTCGGAGAAAGATAACTTCTTCCCGACAAAACAGTACGAAGAATGAAGTTGTAAAAGAGTTCAGGTACCATTTAAAAACATGTACGTACTTTGGATTAACAGCAAAGGCATTGCGTGGGCTAGCTTTTGAGTATGCTCAAGTATATGAATACCAATAAGGTTTAATGCAAAATCTAAATTAGCTAGAAAAGAATGGTTGAGGTGTTTTTGAAGAGATATCCTGATATATCATTGAGACAACCAACTGCTACAAGCGTTGCTAGAGCTATGGAATTCAACCAGGCACAAGTCGAGAACCTATCACGGAAGATTGGATCGAGTGCTCAGTGTGCCGGCAATGGTGGCATGAACACTGTACTGGCTTCTTAGGCCAAGGACTGTATACGTGCGACTTGTGCATTAAGAATTAATCCGCGCACTCTTATACGACTCAACGCGCACTCTTATACACCTGGGTGTATAAGAGTGCGCAATTTTCATTTTTTATATATCTTCAGTTCCTACCTTAACTAATAACATAAGCGTGATTTGTTCTTCTATAATTTGTTGACAGATAAACAGAGTTTATAAATAAATAAAGTTGATTTTTCTGAATGTGGTATTTTATTTTTTATGGGGTCTCAAAATTAAAGTGCGCACTCTTACACCACCTTACCCTAGAACTTCGTACTCACACCACACTGTTTTTCGCGCCTGCTGAGTGCTAGAGACTTAAGATGCATCTAAGATTATTGCGTAAGTCATGTTTGGGGATAAAGTTTGTGCGTAGGGTAGCCAATCTGCAATCATTAATAGTAATAATTATTTTGTTCATTATGACTTAATTAAACTGAAACTTCAACTGAACATCTTTTCATCAAGTGAAAGTTATCTGTATAACAAGAAGTACTTATATGCCTAATAACAGAGGAGTACCTATATAACGTATCGTTCCTCTGAGAAGTAAACCGATACCCATTCCATATTAGGTACCCCTATCTCAGAAACAGTAGGGAATCCAACGTAAACAATAAAGTTGTAACTACGGCATTAGGCATTCGCGCCGCGTGCCCAACCCGCGGATCGTTAAATGAAATAAGAATCTGTCATAATTTGTTCCGATGCCTACGAGCATTTGTGGCGGGATTTCAAAATTGACGCCGGGTTAGTCGGGGCTAATTAATTTTGATGAACGCGGATCCGAGCAGTGCTGTGATGGGTTAACAGGAGATAATAATTTACTTGTACGAGCTTTACAACCGTGATTTCACGCGAATTTTTGTCTGTCTCAGAAAGAAACGTGCTCTGCGACTGAACACTTCATAAAAAAGATACTATTCTAAAACACTGTAATTGTTTTTTTTGTTAAAGTTTAGTATTAATGTTATACCCCTAATATTTATCATGGAGTTTATAGTTCGTTCGTTTCAGCCGAATGAGGTTCACTGCTGGACTTTATAGTTGACATGGAAAATGTTTCTGATCAAAAGTTTTAGGATTCCAAAAGTTTGAAAACATACTGCGCAACGAACAGTATATTATTTTGGGATTTAGATCGTTTGAAATAACAATATTGTCATCTTTATTCAAGGCTGATTTTAGAAACGATTCCCATATCATTAAGGGGTCTAAATGACCCAGTGTCATTGCTCTGGACACTATCGTTGTCCACGCTATGATTTGTAAGCGGAAGAGGGAAAGTCATTTGTGCCTGATATCAATCATTTCTGGGTAATTAATCCAGTGTAGTTTTTATTCCCACACAATAAAGGAAGTTGGAAAGCGTTGCAGTGGCCATTTTGTTTCTGGTCGATTTGGTAGCCAATATACCAAATGGAGAAACTTGGACTGCACCTAAACGAGACTTACGTAGTTTATATTGTACTCGTACAGACGACGACACATCTAACTGTGTATTTTTGTTACAAAATCGCCTCTATTGCAACTGAATAAAATGTCACAGTGTTAAATGCGAAAGTAACTCTGTCTGTCTGTCCTGCTTTCACGCCTAAACCACTGAACCGATTTTGATTAAATTTGGCATAGAGATAGTTTGAGTGCCGGGAAAGGACACAGAATAGTTTTTATCCCGGTTTTTGAAACAGGGACGCGCGCGATAAAGTTTTTCTGGGACAGACAAAACTCCACGCGGGTGAAGCCGCGGGCGGGCGGAAAGCTAGTAATCAATTTTAAATAATAGATGTTATGTAACAATGAAGGCTTACCTATGCTAAATATTTATACAAACTTTCAGATATGAAATATTTTCGGTATCAATAAATTGAGGCAACAAAGATTTTGTTTTTAACCTTTTACTAGAAAAGTCGATTAACGGTCTTGTTGGAAATGGTCAAAAAGGTTAGCATACTTTTACTTGTAATTTGCGAAACAAAATAAAATCGTCACTCTTTTGTTTTAACAGATACAATTTATTAAAATAATATTAATTATGTTAAGTATACTGGTCTAATTAATCTACCCCTCCATTCACAACATCGATGCCTGTCTCCAAATCGCGACATCCCTAACAAGCGAAAATCCAGCAACTAACGAAAATGCCGCGTATCTTGCCGTTAATTGCTTGATTAATTATTACCAGCGAATGGGGTAGGAGACGAGGGTCGAAGATGTGCGGGAGACATCAATAAGCTTTAATTGGTGCGGACCAGCTTAGGACTGTCAGGACTAAAAATAAAGCGACTTTGCTATGACCTAGAGTGCGTGTGTGGGATGTATTGGATGAAAAAATATCCGGTGTTGAAAGTGAATTTTATTGCCTGAGACTTTAAAATACACGGTGAGACAATAATGATGAAATAGGGCGACAATAGCTCAACAGTTTCGACGTCAGATTGTCGATTCTATGGTCGCAAGTTGAATTTCCATCAATACCAGTAGGTATGTATTGGTAGTATCAAATGTTACGCCCGTATTCACAAACGATGCTTGCTTATGTGAAGCAGCAAATCGAACACAGAGTTGAATAGAGCTCTGTGATTGGTTCGTATGTCACCCTGTGTGTTCACGCGCACTTTGAGACCTCATAGTAATGTTTGTGAATACGGGCGTTAATCTCTATAAGTATCCGAAAAAACAAACATTCATTATTGCAAACGCATCAACGTACATAGGCACTTACGTGTTCACGTTTCTTAGGTTCCTTTTTATATCATAATCATAGCACAATGTAAGTTATTACATGTTTGTACGCACGTTGCAGATCAAAGTCAAAGTCAAAGTCAAAATTTCTTTATTTGTTTGGACTAATAAATAGTTCTTACAAATCGTCATTTTGCTCTTAAGGAGCCTCTACATGTCTCATAATCTTTTGTAAGTTGTATTCATAACGCTGTATATTATTCATAGTAAAAGCACTCTTCCGCAATTTCCAGCTAGTGTTTAGCTTCCGTGTTGGCGCCGGGTTCCGGCTCGTTTCCGGCTCGTGGCGGCCGGTGGACCGAGCCGGATCCGGCTATTTGTCTTCCCGCATAAAAACAAGCGCATGGCGTAGACAATTTTTTATAATATCGATTAATGTGGAGGATTCCAATTACTTTTATTCATCACTGAGCTTTTTGTAAGCTCATGGAGTAATGATAGATGTAGAAGTGATGTCAACCACCCAATATGTTTAGTTTTGTTGATGTTGTTTTGTGTCGCTGAATAAAACATTTAATTTCCATTTTAATTTTTTCAATGTGAAATTGGCTGTCTACGAAAAAAACGTGATTGGGTTGCGCCATCCTTTTTTTTTTTTTTTTTTTTTACGGTTGTCGGAATGCGTTTGCGCACCGTCTCCCAGTCACGAGGGGTTGCTGGGAGGTGTGTGGGGCTCGTCCTATTTAGCGGACCCTACCCACTAAACCTATCCACCATGTACCGTGCATCGTGTATCAGGGAGGAGTGGGAACCCGTTTGGTCGACTTCCACTCCCCTCTCACGCACGACCTGGCAGTTGCCGGGCCTCAGTCAATAGGGTGGGGCGATATTGGTACACAGATACCACCCCCAGACTAGTGGGACTACATTGTAGATGTCGGGGCCCTGACCCAAAGCCTACGGTCCCGCTGCAAGAGGTTGATGAAGGAGGGTGGCGTATTGCCTCCTCCGTCTACCTCTCCGGCTTCTGCGAATCGGATCAGCGAGGGGATCTTCCTCCCTGATCCGCTCCGCAGCCTCCTTTTGCGACATGACTTCTTCGCAGAAGGTGGCCATTCCCTTCCAGGCAGTCTCGCTTCCCAACATAGCTTTGACTATGCTGGGAAGCGAGAGGTCTACACCCACCGCCGAAACCAAAGCGCGACGCTGCGGAACCCAAGCCGGACAGTCCACGAGGGTGTGGTCCACCGTGTCTTCCACAGCGCCGCACCCGTGACACTCGGGGGTTGGTTCCCTCCTAGCGATATGATGCAGGTACCAACCAAAAGCCCCATGGCCGGTTAGCACCTGCACCAATCGGTAGGTAAGGTGACCGTGTCGTCTTTCCATCCATTCCTGGAGGACCGGGCGGATCGCGGCGATCGTCCGTCCCGCAAGTCTTCCATACTCACTAGCATCCAGGTGCTCGGACCAGCGACGCAGCAGGGTTTCCTGAGCTTGGAGCCTGGCGCGACACATGTCCTCGAGTTCTATCCGCTCTCCAGCGTTCCTCCTCGCAGACCTCATATGGTATATTTCCGCGAGGACGCCTGCATCCAACTCCCATGGGGGGAGGCCGGCCAGCACCAACGCAGCATCGAGGGCAACCGTACGATAGGCACGGATTGCCCTCAACGCTAGGATGCGTTGAGGCTGGCGAAGCGCATGTTTCGCCTCTCTCTGTAGGGGAAACCAGATCGGTGCCCCATACAGTGCCATGCATCTGGTGACCCCAGCGTACAGCTTTCTACAGCTGACGCTGGGGCCACCAACGTTAGGCAAAAGCCGACCCAGAGCTGCTGCAGTTTTTACAATTCGGGGCTGAAGCAGCCTGAAGTGGGCGCAAAATGTCCACCTGCCGTCTAGTGTTAGGCCCAAGTATTTCATTTGGGCGCCGACCTTTATTCTTACACCTTCCACTGTGATGTGAGCACTCGGTGGAGGGCCCTGTCGGGGTCTGTGAAAAATCATTGCCTCAGTTTTAGCCGGGGCCACCTTCAGACCAAGTGACCGGATGTAGTCTACGGTTCTGGTTACAGCCGCCTCCCCTCTGCTGCATACCTCAGCAAGGCTACCTCCTCGAGTCACAATGAGGGTGTCATCTGCGTAGCACAACAGTCGCGTGTTAGGAACACCAGGGCTACGAAGGACGAAATCATAACCAATATTCCACAGAGTTGGGCCAAGTACCGAACCCTGTGGAACACCGCAGCACATCGCCCTCCGAACCAGCTTCCCCTCTCCGTCTAAATAGACTACCGTTCTGTCACAGAGATAGTCCTGTAGCAGCCTCCCCAGATATGAGGGCACTTCGTGGAAGCGAAGTGCCTCCAAGATAGTAGAAAAGGGTAGGCTGTTGAAGGCATTGGCGATATCAAGTGATACTGCCAAAACCCTATCTCCCATCTCCAATGCGTCATCCGAGTAGTTTTTTAGGGCCATCACTGCGTCCGTTGTCGAGCGCCCGGCTCGAAAACCGAACTGAGCGTTCGACAGGTTTGGGCCAGTCTCCTCAAGGTGCTTCACAAGGCGAGATACTACTATTTTTTCAAGTAATTTCCCCGCCTCGTCAAGCAGCACAATGGGCCTGTATGCCGAGGGTGAATCTGGAGGTTTTCCAATCTTGGGAATCAGACAGAGCCGGCCTTCTTTCCATACCTTAGGGAATCTACCTGTGCTGAGTGACATGTTGAACAGGTCCCGAAGTCGTCCCTCGAGGTGCTGGAGGGCAACCCAAACTACACGTCCGGGAATACCATCAGGGCCAGGGGCCTTACTCTTTCCTTTAAGGCGTTCCATGGCTGTCTCCATTTCCACATCCGAGATGGGTGGAGCAGTAGTAAACACGGGAGCGCGTAAAGGGTGCATGACTGGGGGGGTGTGTGGTCCACAATCAGGGAACAACCCAGACACTACTCGCTCCAAAAGTGGCGGGTCTAGGGTTTCTGAAATGGGGGCAGTCATGGTGCGGAATTTGTTCCTAGCGGTTTTATAAGGACGCCCCCACGGGTCTCTATCTAGGTCTTTCAACATCTCTTCGCGAGATCGTTCCTTTGAAATGTTGATAGCCAACTGCAGCGCCTTTTTATCCTGGAGATAAATTTCACGCAGTTGGGCTTCGTCCTCTGGGGAACGGTTACTTCTGCGGCGGCTCCTTGTAAGCGCCCTGCGTGAGGCGTTACAGGTGGCACGAAGAGAGGCTATTTCCTCGGTCCACCAGTAAACTCCTTTCCGTGGGGGCGGGTGTCGCACCCGTGGCATCGAGGCGTTGCAGACCTCGGTCAATGCAGCCCGGAAACGGGTTGCAGCCTCGTCTACATTATCAGGTGGCGGGCCATAGCACCAATCCTGTATCAAGGACGCATCGCTAGCCATTTCCCTATCAAGCTGTGCCAGGGCCCAACGCGGGAATGTGTAACGATTTGCCCGGTGGGTTGATTGCGGTTGGGAGCGAGTAATCTCGAATCTTATGTAGACGTGGTCAGATAGTGTCTCCTCACCTTCTAAGACGCGCCAGTTCGTAATGTTGCGACCGAGAGCAGGGGTGGCGAACGTTAGGTCCACCACAGATCCCCCCTGCCCGCGAACGCAAGTAAATGCATTCCCTATGTTTATCAGACTGAGGCCTATTTCTGCCGCCCATTCTTCTAGGACTTCTCCACGACTGTCCGTAGAGCGGCATCCCCAGTTACGGGATTTGGCATTGAAGTCGCCCATGACGACGACTTGTAGAGGCGACAACCTCCCTATAACCGGACCGAGGGTCTGCAGGAAGGCCTCAAATTGGGGAACCGTTCGGTTAGGGGAGAAGTACACCCCCATAACGGCCAGATTTTTCCATTTTGCTGCAACATATCCGGGCCCTTTTTCTCGGGGTTCGAGGGGAGGGGTTCGGGAGTCACTTCGACTAACAATGGCAACAGTCTCGTCCGTCGAGCCAGCCCAGTTTGACTGGGTAGAAATGTAGTAGGGCTCAGCCACTACAGCAATGTCAATCTGCCACGCCACCAGGTTTGCCAGGAACAAGTCCTGGGCCCTGGTGGCATGGTTAAGGTTCGACTGGAGAAAAAACGTGGTGGGCCTATCTGTCATCATGGGGGGTCACACTTGTCGTTTCCATTTCTACCGGTTGTGGTTGATCGCCGCCGGTCACCGAAGCTGTTGGGATCTGCACAGCTGGTGCTTTTCCCCTGACAGTGGGGGGCCTACATAATTTCCCCGCCATGATGTGGTCAGAGGCTTTCCCAGCATCCGCACACACCGCACACCGAATCTTTGCCGCACAGCTGTTGGACTTGTGTCCAGGGTGTCCACATCTGAAGCACAGCTCATTACGGGTCAGCGATGAGGGGCATAGTTGTATAGTGTGCCCCAATCCCAGACATTTAAAACACCGCAAAGGGCGAGACTCCAAGAAGGACACCCTTGCCGACGACCAGCCCACCAGGAGGCGGCCAGTGGATAACACCTGCGCTGCAGTCGCAGGGCACGAAACCAAAATGGCACCCACACCTCTTGGCCCGGGACGGATTTCACCCGCCTTGACGGCCTCTATATTGCAGCCAGTTTTTGCTACAATAGCCGCAATGACCTCCTCTTTCGTGACGGAGTCGTCAAGCTCTGTAATGCGGAGGTCGACTTTTCGCACAGGACGTGCCACTTTGGCAACCTCTTCCAGCACTTCGTTAAGCTTGACCGCTAGTTGGTTAGCTTTTTCATCGTTCTGGGAGCCAGATATCTCCAGCATTCTGGCTCCCGTGGCCGTCCTTCTGCATCGAACATGGTCCATCCCTAATTCTTCCAGGGAGAGGACTTCCCGCGCTTTCTTAAGGGCCTCGCCGTAGCTGGCTCCTTTTTCAACAGCCTCTGGTTTTAGGGATATCACTACAGCGGAGGTGTGGGGAGGGGCGAGGGATACCCCTCTGTGTGGTCGTTTCCTAGACTTGGGGATCCGTTCTGGGACATTCTGAGAAGCGAAGGAGGATTGAGTGAGAGATTTCTTCTTATTTCTCCTCTGCTTTCTTTTGTGAGACACTGTAGTCCATTGTTCCGTACCTAAACCCGTCGGAACCACAGGGTCCCTTGAGTTCGTGGGTTGCTGGGTCTCAGTTCGACTGACGTGCTTCTCGCTCTCAGTTGAGCGGGATGGTCCGGCATTAGCAGGCAGTTTGGCCGCGTTTCCAGCTTTGGGTCGTTCTGCATTGGGCGGCGGTTTCGCAGAGTTTGGCGAGGCCGGTGGGGCAGCAGCGACCTTTGAATAAGTCCTCTTGTTGCTTGCCTCTGCAGGGGCAGGAGATGTTGGCAGCTGTTTGGGTGCCTTTTTCTTCGCTACCGTCTTAGCAGGGCCAGTAACAGCACTATCAGCCCTGTCGGCTGCAAGGGGCGGCCGAGAGACTGGCATGGGGTTAAGTCTATCTTGCATACCTTCGAAGCGTGCAAATCGAGCATCAAGGCTGGCTTCAATCATCTTGCCGAGGGAGAGAAGCAGTGTCTCCTGGTTGCTGGCATCCATAGTAAGTGTCCCTGTCGTGTCCATAGGAGTGGAGGAGGAGGAAGTTGTCGCAGGTGGAGCGGTAGGTAGTGCCGCAGCTGGAGTTGCAGCTACCCTTTCCGAAAGAGACCTGCGAAGCGATTGGACTTCTTTCATCAGCTCCTCTTTTTCATTCCGGAGGTTTTTGTTGTCCCGCGCAATTTTCCTGGCCTCGCTACTCAGATTTCGCTCTGCCATTTCATCAATTACAACTTGAAGCACATTCCCAGCCTGCTTGAGGGTCTTCTGCATTACTCCTTGCAGATGACCAGATTTGTTTTTGACCTCAGCGACGGCCGAGAGGCATTGGTGCGCTATGTCTCTCAACTGCATCGTGTCTAATTGAGATGGCTCATTGGGTATATCCGGGCATATAATGCCACTCATAGACTCTAGGGATTGGGCTTTTGGAAGGCGAGTAGAAGATCTCGTCTTCTTCTGCGAGGCGATGTTGGAGCCTTCTTCCTCAGCCTTCGTCCCCTTTGTCTTGGTGGCCCGCTTGGTTGACGAGGACATATGTCGACTCGATCTTTTCCCTCTGGTCGCTGTGCTGATCTTCGGAATCGGGGACCCTTCGGATTCCGAATCCGAAGCCCCACCCAGCGAGTAAAAACTGTCACTCTGCTGTTTACGTAGCGAGGAGCGACTACGACGCTTAGGCGCAGCAACATGCTCTATTTGACGGGAGTTTCCCACGTCATTCTCTTCGGCTGAATTGAACGTAGTGTCCGATTCAGCCATCACGTTTTCCACCGAATTCATCAGCGATGCTGGTTCAGCCGAGTTTTTGGACGCCTCGCGTCCGGGGGTTGGTCGAGAAAACTTAGATTTTAAATTCTCCATTTTCAATAAGGGGAAAAGTCTGGTTCATCCGGTGGGGCCTCCACCCTCCTTGGAGCCCGCAGTATGGGGAGCCGTAGCCCAGAGCTACCCACCAGATATAGCAGGGATAATGCAAGATCAAAAGTGCGAGATCTTTAGCGCGATGGTTGGGGCAAGGTTAGCGTATGTCGACCAAAACACACACACAACACCGAGCCCGCC